CCTGGTCATAGCGCTTCCGGATTTCTGGGTGTGTCTGTTCTATCAGGCAGTCAACAAAACAAGTCTGAAAAACATCAGACCACGAGAGAAAGGAGATGACTATGTTCAGACAGAGAAATACAAGTACAATCCCATCCCCCCAGTAGCAGTACTGAGAAAGTTGGGCATGTTATTATTTCCACGTGGCTGAAAGAAAACCTACAAATAACTGCATTAGCAAGAGGAGCAGAAAGAGACTGCTGCTGCAGAGCTCGAGGGGTGAAGAGCAACGGCAAAAGTAAGCAACAAACAGATCATTACTACTACCTGATCTATGCTAGATATTCACACTACCTTGCCATGGTGAAGGTGCCCACACAGAGTCACATTTCGAATTAGCTCCGAGTTGTCCATCAGATCTGCCAGGAAACTGGAGGAACGAAACACAAAAGGCTGTTGGAAGCTTCTGCTGTGTCTAAGAAAAGTAGGTGCCATTTCAGCTACACTTTCTATCCAAGGTGCCCCCTGAATCCGCTCCAAACTTTCATTCTGCCAATGCCCTGCGGAGGAAGAATCCCACTTTCCAGATGGGGAGGACAAGAGAGTTGGAGTCCTAGACAGATGGCAGTGGGTGGGAGAATACGGAGCTGGTAAAACTGCCAGCGATGGAATATTATTGAATATTTTTCTTCTCTTCTAGTCAGTATTAGAGCAAAAGTCACATCCATGTACTCAGATGATGAAATACTTCCACTCAAATAGTGGCAGGCAGTCAAGTAAATCACAGAGCTGGATAACAAGCACCCCACGCAGTTTTAAAAGGCAGCCACAGGGATCCGCAGACCATTAATTCTGATTTGCAGGTCTTAAAACAGTGATGTTCCCAGGGACTCAGGGAAACAGTAATGGAATTTAAATGTTTTTAGAATCAGCAACTGAGCTAGGTAATGATGGGTTGGTCACTTCTGCATGGAACCTGACCAAAATATAATTGAGATCCTAAATTACCAACTTCCCTAAAAAATAATGGGAAGCTATAAAATACATATTCATTGCTATGGATCCGCAGAAAATAAGTGCTGTCAAATAATCTCCTTTTTAAAAAAAGATTTAATTTTCACTGATGCAGTAGACTTCTTAACGTACAACATTTTGATTAAGAGCTAAAAAATACAAAAATCAATAATAATACTGATTAAAAGCTTGCTTATTGGTCTTAAAATAAGGCTAAATGGGAAATCAATACCAAGCTCGCAGGTTTCTGGCTAAGTCTCACAATGACTTTCTCTTTGCCCCATCCTAAGCACTTATATCAACGAACAGGAGAAAGAGGACTTCATTACAGACAGAATGAGCAGAGGACACAGGGATCAGGAAAACGGTAGATAATGAAGAGTACAGGTCATTGACTAAGAACAAAATGGACTGCCTAGAAAAATAAGAGCCAGCAGGCTCTCTGGTTTGTACCTGGCTATATCAAAAACCTCTCTAATCAGGGTGCTGGGCCACCCTGTCTAGACCATGCTTTTACCAAGAAAGGTTGGACCAGATGACCCTTTCCAACGCAGTATTCTACAGTCACAGGACACTGACAGTATCAGGGGACAGCTCCAAGAAGCAGCCGTTCCAAAAAGATCCTGGACACTCAAGTAACCAACCAAATACGAACCCAGAGAAATTTTGTTGTTGGAAAATAACAAGATCCTTGATGATACACAGAGGGACTGCTCACGTTGGGGTCTGTTTGGCACACAGGGAACTGCTACTCAGCTTGCATCTGGTCCTGGGATCTACACTTGAAGACTACTATTAAAAACTGGAAAAAGCTCTGACTAGCCATGAAGTGGTGTATGGAAAGATGAGCCTAACCAGACACTCACACAGCTCAATCTGTTCATCCTCAAATAGAAGACAACATACACAAACACTATACATGCAATGATACAGAGCCCCTCCACCCAGCAACAAAATGTAGACGTTGATGCCAAGATTATATATTTTTAATAGAGAAAGTACACAACTGTTTTTATGCTTTACCAACGTTGCATGAGATATTATAGCTTGAATTTTAAATTCATTTGAATTTTCTTCCAGGAGGTTTTTTTCTCAACTCTGGTGCCCCAGGGGCTGCTTTGCGGGACACCAGCAGACACCATCAAGCACAGCAGAAGTGCAACTTAGCTGCAGCATTATGCTGACCAACCCATAACTTTACATACAACCAGTGGCATAAAAATTCCCCCTGGAAACTCCTCTGGGACAGATGGGAATTAATTTGAGACAGCAGCAGTCCACTGGTCACTGAGATCAACCCAAAATGTCCCAACATGAAGTGTGCCACCCACTGACTGTATAAATATTTCTCGAGCCAATCAAAGAAACTTGCTTTCAGCAAATCTGCACCACAAGAGTTTCAAATTACCAAGCTTTGTATCAGCTGTTGAGGTAAGATTTACGTTCTATTTCAGAAAACTATGCACTGGGCTGCATACTGTGGAGGGAAAATATCTATTAAATAGTGTTGTACTTTCTTCCTCTTCTTTTTGGTTCAAAATCTGGGAAACAGCTGCACTCAGTTCTGTTGCTGGTGTCAGTAAGAAACAAAGCCAATGCCCCCCAAAATCTGCCTCCTCCACACAGTACACACCACTCTGCCTCCCCACCTTTGCCTGTAAACAACAAAATGTGAGGAAATCACAGCACAGATGGCTTGAGCCAACTTGTACGCTTAAAACCCCTACATATGACTTACTCCATCTCATAGACAGTGACTGGTAATGTCTGTTCCATCAGAGAGAATTTTTTGGTTTTCACAGGTTTAATAATAGGCTCTGAAAACAAAACAAAGAACAATAAAACACTGTTACCAGAGACCCTGAACCCAGCATGCTCAGAAACGGTCACAAGGAACAATGACTTTTGCAAACAGAACCACAATTTCCAAGCTGATTCTCTTAGCTTTTTATAAAAGCAGTTGTACTAGATGTAGGTGCCTTCCAAATGAACTATTCCATTCTATTCTAGAAGGATCAAATGAGATGACTTAAAGACATTTCAATTTCTCCTTAAGTATCTTTCCAGTATCTGCTGATATCTGTTCCTCAAAAGATAGTTTGTTTGGCAGTTGTAATAATCCCGAGTGCCAAAATATGCACACCACTAGACAAGCAAGAGTCTACATGTTCCAGGGGCAATTTGAAAGGGGCATTAAAACCGATGAGGAGAACAGAAGGGAATATTATTTTCCCTTTTCCAAGGATCCATTAAGAGTCTTCTCCTCACTCCACACCCAACTTACTGCTTCATCACCACTTACCAGTGAGAGGCTGTGTGTCTTCCTCCTGTACTATAGTCTCTACTTCAGGCCCATAGACCTCCTCGGCAGTGGGATAGTATTTCTTATCCTCATGCAGCACCACCTCCATCCCAGGGTGGTCCTCATCATGGTCCCCCATATCATCATCGTCGTCATCATCCTCGAGCTGCAACCAACACTCCCATTTAGCTGCTGCCAGCAAAGTGCTTTACAAATGCCGATCACCCCAGAAGGTACAGGCTTGGCATTGTGCATCGAATGAGCTACAAACCCAGCCAGGGAACCATCAACGTGGCCCCAGGACCTCACATCCAGCTGCAGAGCAGCTTGCAGAGGTGCTCTCTGTAAGCAACACACCTCTTCCTGCTGTTGAAAATGAACAGCAAGAGGACTTGCAGAGACACCTGCAGAGGCAGCAACTCCCACCCCTCGCCTGCATACACAACAGACCCACACTCGTGTATAACATGACCCCAATCACACACAGGCACCTCTCCCAGAAAAACTGCAGGAACAGGAGACTAGAAGGGGCTCCCTCAGTCTTCTGATGCTTTCCCCATCGCGGCACAGCAGCCTCTGCTGCCCTCCCTGCTCTCCTCTAGTGCCTGTGGAGTCTTGCTCTGCCTTCACCACTGAGGAATCAAGCCCTCTGCAATACTGCTGTAGCACTAGCACAGGTTACTAAAGGCCTGACGATCTCACTGAATGGATACAGATCCTCCATTGCACTGAACACAAAAAAAAAGCCACCTACAGTTTGAGCTACAGGAGCTCCCAGTTCTAACTGTGATTCAAGCTGGAATTTTGTCTTTTCCTTTATCACAGGAACAGGAAAGCAGCTCTTGCTGAATCCCTTAAAAAACAAATCTACTCTGATCCTCAGGAATCAAATCCCACCACTAAACAAAGCCCTCGCAGCAGAACCAGAGCCCGGCAGGGCAGAGGAATCACCGGCTGCTCGCGGCGAGCACTGCGCTCAGCCCCTGCTCCGGGGGGGTTACGGGGCAGGATCAGGCCCCGGCCGGGCTCCTGGCCCCTCCACCCACCGCCCCGCTCACCTCGTCCAGATCTTTAGACTCTCTGCCCAACTCGTCGTCGTCATCGTCCGAGTCCAACTCCGGCCCGATGTAGTTCCCAAACTCGTCGTACAGGTCGGTGTCCATGCTGGAGGTGGGGAGGGGGTCGGAGGAGGGTGCAGGCTGCGCCCCACGCACCCGGGGATCCCGCCCAAGCCTCCCCCAGCACCCGGTACCGTGCCGCACCGGGGCTCCCGGCCGCGGCCTGCAGCGTGCGCGGCCCGCCCGCCCCTCCCCGGAGCCCTGCACCGCGCCCCGTGCCCCAGCCTGCTCCCCGAGCAGCGCCGGGCCCCCACCGCCCCCTCCCCGGCCCCCACCCCTACCCTTTCCCCGCTCCCGGTCCCGCTCCCGGTCCCGCTCTCCCGCCGCGCCGCCCTCGCCGCCGGCGCCGCCGACACCGCCGCGGAAGGCCCCCGGGGCTGCCCGCGCCGCCTGTCACGACAGAATTCCCCCTGTCGGCCGTCAGCGCCGCGCCCCCGGGAAAGGGCCGGTCAGGGCGGGAGGAGCCCGGGATGGTCCCGTCGGGGTCCCGGGGGCCGCGACCCGCGCTGGGCCGGCGGGGCCGGTTCTGTCAGGCGCGGCTGGGGCAGCCCCGCCGGGGCCTCGCGAGCGCTGCCCTGTCTCTATGGCGACGGGAGGGCCGCCCGCGCGCGGCGGCGGGGCTGTCGCGACAGGGAGGGGCCGGCGGCTGTCGCGATAGGAACGAGGTTCCCAGCTGCCATCCCTGTGCACGGCCTGTTAGGGCTTCCACAATAGGAGTGGAGTCCCCAAGGCCAGGACTGTCTCGATGAGAGCGGGATTGTCACGACAGTAGTGAGGCCCCTGGGGCCGGTCCTGGCAGAACTGTCGTGACAGGAGTGGGGTCTCTGAGGCCAGCCCCATCAGGGCTGTCACAGTAGGAGTGGGGTGCGCAAGGCCAGCTCTGTCAGGGTTGTCGCGACAGGAGCAGGGTTCCCGCGCACCCAGGGGTGGCCCCGTCGCCCGCGTCGCCGTCCCCGTCCCCACAGGCCTCAAGTGCTGCCGGGGGGTCCCGGCCCCGCCGCGATGGAGGCAGCCGCAGCCCCCGACCCCGCGGCGCTGGAGCGGGAGCTGCGGGCGGCGGTGGCGGCCGACGAGAGGCGGGAGCGGGAGAACGACGCCAAGCTGCGAGCCGTGCGCCAGCGCGTCCCCTCCTACGAGGAGTTCAGGTCCGACGGGGGACACCCGGGGCGGGGAGGGGGGTTCGGGTGCTTCCCGACCCCAGAGGGCTTCACCGGCGCCAAAGCTTCGCTTGGTGCCGGGTGCTCCTGCCACGGGGCTGACCCAGCCGCGCGGGTGAGTTTTGGAGCGCTTTCTTTTGGAGCTCTTTCTCTTGCTTCAGGGCCTTTTAAGACACGAGGTCACCCATTGGGTTTTGAGCTCAAACTTTGAGAGGGGACTGAGCTGATTATCTGTGCTTTCTGCTCCAGCTGACCATGAGTGTCGCTTGACACGGACAGCAAACCCAGTTTCAGGATTCCCAGAAAGGCCGTGGCCCTGTGGCGCAGGTGGGGCAGAAACAGCCTAGTTTAAGATTTGGCCCCGAGGAATCACCAGGGTGACATGTGTGGGCTAAGATCTCAGCTGTTCCTGCCTGGAACAGCCAGCTCTGGGGGAGGTCCTCACGCTGGCCAAGCTGTGGCCAGCAGTGGGATGGCATGCTGTCCCCTTTCCAGCACGCTGTCCCCTCTCCCCATTCCCTGGCACGGCACCCACCCCCCAAGCCCTGCCCGCCCGCCCTGCCCTCCCTTTCCTCCCTGCACGCCCCGTGCTGTGTGGTGGTGTGTGGTGGTGCACCCTCACGCACGTGGTGGTGCAGAAGAGGGTGATGCGTGTCCCCGTGCACCCTGCCCAACATGTTCATGCTCCCAAGCCTGTCACTGCTTTGTCCAAGGTGGTTTGGGAGCAGGTTTGTGGCCCAGGAATGGCAGGGATGCTCTGCAGAGGCAGTGCAGGGCACTCCCAACACCCACACAAGTCCTGGATCCACCTATAGATCCATCTGGGTGTGATAAATAATAGCAGAATTTTGCTTTCGCTAAAAGTAATTAAACAATTACTTTTATTGAGTTAGGCTAAAGCTATTACTAGTACAACGATCCAAATTTTAAGAAAAGTAAAAGAATTTACTACTGGGAAAAGAAAAGGGGGGGAATTGATCTGAGGAAACACCAACCCAACAGCCCCCCCCCCCCTTCTTGGGATGCTCACCAGATGGTCCATATCAAAGGATGGTAACTCCTTTGCAATGGATTGAGAAAGAATAGGATGGGCCATCCCTGGTATCTCTTGTCCTTGAGATAAGAGAGGAACCGAAACCACTGAGCCATAAGTAAGGGTCAGCTAGCGAACACAGTGAAGAAGACTACGAGCCTTCATCTGCAGACCCCTGCCCACGACCACCAGGGAGCACTGAGCAAGCACAACAGGAGGAATTTGGGGTGGGGGGATATGTTAATGATTTCTCGGAACTAATTGTAATATTCCCTCCCTGTCCCCAGAGTAGTGATGCATATGTATTAGAGTAGATGAATATGTAACCTTTTATACAATAAAAGGGAGCCCCTTTGGCTCCAGGGCGCACCACTGCGCCCAGCGCTGTATTCTTTGCTCCACTGACTTTGTCCCCAATAAAACTATTTTTTATATGTACGTGGGCTTGTTTCTCACATGGGGAAGTCCCTCTCTCTCAACATCCACAGATGGATTTGTAGGTGGATCCAGGACTTTGACCGCCCCTTGGTAGACTTATACAGGACTAGATCAAATTCCATTCACAGCTTCATCTCCACCTGCATTCGGTCATATCATCTGATCCCTGTAAGGCAGGAAAACACTTTAAATGGCATCTTCTCCCCCAACCTTCTTGCGAATCCCTATGAAAGGATTCCTGAGTGGTTTTAAGCTGTTTTATCAGTGTGTTGGCAACAGTAGAAGTAATCTGTGGGACGTAACGGAGCAGCTCCTCTCTGTGGGTGCAGTGCCTTTTCTCGTGTAGCCCACACTAGCATAGGAGCAAAGAGCTGGGCCCCTTCAAGGATATTCTGCTTGTTATTGGGAGGACCAGCAACAAGGGATGAGAAGAACCACATGAGCCACTGAATCTGGGCTGCTGTAGTTAACCACAGATGTCAGTGTAATAAAATACTGAATTCAAATGGATCACATACCTGCCCAGCGTGCTGCAAGCTATGAAACAGCGATGAATCCAGTCTCTAGGTGCTGTAAGAATTTAGGGTCTTTCCTCTGGAAGCCCCAAAGCCACAGAAACTTCACTGTGCTGTAAGAAAAAGGCAGGAGGAAACAACATTCTGCCAGTTCCTCAGGCTCTGGCTCCAGAGGGACTGTTGGGTAGAAATGCCCAGTTCCTGGGGAGCAAGTCATTCCCCGTGCTGGGGAGGAACCACGGTGCTGCAGCCTATGGGGAAATTCCTGCTTCGTTGGTCCTGCCGATTGGATTAACAGAGTGTGTGAGGTGGATGTGCCTGTCAAGTGCCTGGTGCTTGAAAAATCTGCTTTCCTCTGACTCATCTCTGATGCTTCACAGTTCCAATTGAATCCTGATTTTGTTTGATAGAATCGTAGAATGGCTTGGGATGGAAGGGACCTTAAATATCATCTAGTCCCACCCCCCCCACCCCGGGCAGGGCCCCCTTCCCCCAGCCCAGGGGGCTCCCAGCCCCGTCCAACCTGGCCCTGAACCCTTCCAGGGAGGGGGCAGCACAGCTGCTCTGGGCACCCTGGGCCAGCGCCTCACCACCCTCATCACAAACTATTTCTTCCTTGCGTCCCATCTAAACCTGCCCTCTGTCAGTTGTTCCTTGTCCTGTCACTGCAGGCCTTGGTAAAAAGGTTCTCTCCGTCTTTCTTATAAGCTCCCTTTAAGTACTGGGGGGGCTGCAAGATGATCTCCCCAGAGCCTTCTCCTCTCCAGGCTGGACAGCCCCAACTCTCTCGGTCTCTCTCCACAGCAGAGCTGTTCCAGCCCTTGGACCATTTCTGTGGCCTCCCCTGGACCCGCTCCAACAGGTCCATGTCTGGCCTGTGCTGGGACCCCAGAGCTGGACACAGTGCTCCAGGGGGGTCTCGTGAGAGCGGAGCAGAGGGGAAACATCCCCTCCCTCGACCTGCTGGCCATGCTGCTTTTGATGCAGCCCAGAATGCAGTTGGCTTTCTGAGCTGCAAGCGCACATTACCAGGTCATGGCCAATTTTTCAGCCACCGGGACCCCCAAGTCCTTCTCTGCAGGGCTGCTCTCAATCCCTTCATCCCTGAGTCTGTATTGCTATTGCAGATTGCCCCAACCCGGGTGCAGGACCTTGCACTTGGCCTTGCTGAAGTTCATGAGGTTCACATAGGCTCACTCCTCCAGCCTGTTCAGGTCCCTCTGGATGATATATATGGCCCAAACTCAGAAATTGCCTCAGAGAAGAAACTCAAAACCTCAAAGTATTTGACCATGCTAAGTATCTCATCCCCTTTTTGTTGCCTGCAGGAACATTGTGCTGGCATCACACCTGAAGCCTCTAGAGAAAAAGGACAAGATGGGTAAGAGGAGGAATGTGCTGTGGAATCCCTGTGCAGCCCACACCAAGGCCCCACAAGCCAGTGATGTGGAAATACCCCAGGTGAGGATGACGCTTCCCGGGACTTTGCCCACATATAAAAATTACTCCAGAATAATGTGGGTATTATTTTAAAATGTGAGAGTTATTCATAAATACCTCTGCGTGTGAGCAAGCCCTAAAAGTCCCCAAGAACATTGGTGTTTAGATAACTGCAGAGTTCAGTCTTGGCCCCTACTTTGCAGCTGATAAGAGCTTGCACCAGCTGCTTCAAGAAGAGTTTGCTTCAGCCCTGCAGGAATCTAAAACCAGCTGCACAGTGTCGGACCAGAGCTCCCAATGCCCTGCCTCTGATGGTGGCCAGTAACAGATTCTTGGGGAAGAGTGCCCTCCCTTGACCACACTCTTCCAGCTGGCTGCAGTTCAGAGACCGAGAGCCAGGGTTGTGCATCTGGATCATCACATTTAGTAGCCACAGACTGCAGATCTTCTGTGAACGTAGCCAGTTCTCTTTCACCCCATGGTTTAATTATGCATGATATGGAAAAGTGCTGTTTTGTTTTAAACCTTCTGCCTGATGAGTTCACTGGGTACTCCTTCGCTCTTCAGCTGTGGGAAACAGTGACTAAACATTTTCTATCCAGGTTATTTGTGATTTGAGTGACATCTGTCCTGCCCATTCCAGTGGATTCTGCCCATGCTGGAGAGTCCTGGTCACTGGACATGTAACTGGGGATGTTTCCCATGGATGTTTCTCATGGATTTTTTTGACACTGAATTTCATTTGCCTGTTCATTATGAGATCTTTTTGCAACTCTTGTAGGCAGCTTTGTTTTTTCTTAGACTGAGCAATGATCTCCCCAGAGCAAATTCTGTTCCTAATCCCGTTAGCGCTTGGGCTCTGATCTGCATGGTTTCTCCATTCTGTGTTTGGACACAGCCTGATGTTGCTGTGCCTTGTTCTCGCAATCTGTATAAAAGCCTAAACATTTTAATCCTCCTTCATTCTGTGCGTCAGTTAAGTCAGCAGTGATGAGTTCAGCAGTTCAATTACACAGTGTATAAAACAGGATTTCCTTTTATCTGGAGATGCCACATTAAGCACAGATCCATATGAGCGCAGTATGTTACAAGACAGTGTGTTAGGGCCATCTGCATATTTTCTGGTGTTACATATCATATCTTTTATCTCCTCAGTCCTTTGATTTGCCTCACAGTGCTCAAGATGGAGCAGAGGTTTTCACTGAACTACCCCCATCTCCAGGAGATCCCTTCCCGAGCAGTGATGATGGATCCAGACTGGGCAGCGTGTCTGGTTCTGGTTAGGGTTGGGGTTACTCCACTACTGGTCTGTGTTCATCCACTCTGGGTTTCATGCCTCATCCGTTTTTCCATTATTTTCCCCTGAAGTTCTCTGGTTTTTATGGGGCTTGAGGAACCTGGAATTTCTTTGTCTTTATGTTTTGCCACCTCACAAGCTTTATGCAGCCCATTGTGCTATCAAAGCCTGTATTAAAAACATCTCAGACATCCACAGGTTGATCAGGACCAGGGAAGGATAAAAATTTTCAAGTGGGAACAAAACAAAATAAACTGGATAACTATTTTTTCCTTCAGGAGCTGGATCAACTGCCCAGAACCTCTGCTGAATTTTACAGAGATTGGCGCAGATGCTTAAAAAGCGGAAAAGAAAAATACCAGTTTTTGCTTGAGCTTGGGGGGAATGCCTTGGGCAGAATTTTTCAGGCTGACTTGGGCTTTGGCCTCCTGGGTGAATTCCTTACGGTGCTGGCAGAGAACGTCTGTCGTGAAGACAGAGATGCCATCCTTCAGATCTTACAGAGTCTTTCAGGCACCAAGCGCTTCGGGTTAAATGTGGAGCTTCTGAGCAAATCGGAGAAGGAGAGCAGCAGGGATTTGTTTAGGAAGCTGTGGAGCATGAGTAGGGATTATTGGATGTCTGGCGATCCCAGCAGCCCAGCCAGCTGTGAAGCAGAGGGAGAAGCCCACCTCATGGACACCAGCTTGCAAAAGGAAGCCAAGGAGGAAAGGATAGTGATGGAGCTGATGAAATGTTACCAGGTCAACTGAAGGAGCAGAAGCGCCAGGGTCGTGCAGAAACAAAATGCAAAAGAGGCTCAAAGCTTGACTTTGGCATCATTATGTGAAATGAATAAATCGGATACTTCTGGAGCATTGTTGTACATTTTTCTGTACCTGGGAGCCACCCAGAGCAATAAAGGTTTGTTACCAAGAGGACTGTGTTGTGATCTCTGGGGCAGGGTGTCCTCACAGAACAGCTCTGTGAGCGTCTCTTAGATGAGAACCACCAGGGGGAAAAAAGAAATTTTGAAGGAAACCAAAACCCAAATAGTCCTTCCCCTTTGTCATCTCTGTCGTCACTCAGGGGATTTGATGGAGATAGAAGTGCTGTGCAAGGTGGTATATCTGGGACTGATCTAACCAGCTATTTTATTACTATTATTTTACCTCAAACAGCAGGGCACAGGGTATACCTCAGAGATCCTGTCACCTCATGGTCCTGTGATCTCAGACACTATCTGGTTTGCTGAAATTTCACATAAATTGAAATTTAGAAGGAACTGGCAGGTATCAGTACAACAGAGAAACTCCAGAGCTGCCCAGTACTGTGTCTAAATTGAGTTGCACTTTTGTTCTGGCTGCAGAGCAGAGACCCTCATATGGCACAGCTCAGCACCTACCCACCAAGCTCTCTTGCAGTTCTGGTCTGGGAGGATCCTCAAACTTCTTCAAGTGTGCTGAGCAGCCCCGTGTATGTTACATTGCTCAGACTGCCTTGAAATCAGCTCAGAAACAACTGCCAGGTCCATTTTGTTCCAAAACCCATCTAGCAGAGCAAAAGGTCACCCTGGCACACTATTCCCACCCCTCTCCCACCTTCTCTGTAGAAACAACTAGGCACCTAATTGCAGACTTCAGATTCATCTCTGAAACCTGGCACTTGAATGTTGGGTTTTGTGGCATCTATCCTGGGGACACCTGTGTCCCTGCAGGCTGTTGCGGGTGCCATTCCTCTTGCCTTTGCATAACACTTGCAAACCTGAGGACCTGCAGAAAGCCAAGAGCTGAAGCCTTAAACAAAACAAGATGATCCTGGAGTTACCCAAGATCAGGATGGAGGATGTTGATGCAGGAACAGCCCCAGCAGGACAGTTACAGCTCTGGTGGGAACAGGCACGGTGCTTTCAGCAGTCCCAAGGCCCAGGGCTTGCACTCACATCTTGTGTCAAGGATGGGAGCAGCCTGCTGCATCCCCCTCACTTGGGGAAAGGCAAAATCCCCGCTGGTTTGGTGAGAAAACTCATGAGAAATGAAGTACAGGAGAGGTTGTGTGAATGTTTATGGGAGGGCGGGCTGTTAGACCTGCTGGGATCCGTTTCCCAACAGTCAGTTCATGGTCTGACTGGAGCGTCTGCTCGAGAAGCGCCAATAGGTGAGCTGAGGGTCTGGCCAGAGTCAGTGGGGAGCAAACAGCTTGTCTTCACCGTAGGAGAGATGCACTGGAGGCCTCAAGGCTTGGTTACAGCATCAGACAGGGCAAGGGTGATGTGGACAAAAAGCCTCACTCGCAGAGGGTCTCCTCTGGATTCTTTGTGCTTAGAGGGGTCAGAGCAACAATCAGCATTTATTGCATGGGAGTCTAAAGAAGGTGGCAGTTCCCTTGTTCCCAGCACACTTCCCATCCCCGTATCTTCCCTCCGCCCCTGTGCTGCACGAAGGTCCTGCCCACCCGTTGCCTGGGGCACAGCTGACAACATTCTAGAGAAGCTGGAGGAAAGGAGAGGTTCTAGAGCCTGTGCCCAGGGGGACCACCTGCACAGGTGAGGGATGGAGTGCTTCCCAGCAGATATTCAGCTGGGATGGGATATTTCAGCCACTGTTTGATCTCTGCTGCCAGCCACATGCACTGCAGGCCGGGGGACAGTTGCAAACCCCGTCTTTGGTGAGCGAGCTGGTGTGTGCATTGTCCCTGCCCGGCGCTGGCACTCCTAACCCCATGTGTGGTTCCTGCCACCCCCGCCGAGGACGTGGTGGCTGGGTTAGTTCTGCTGACTGCAGAGACCAGCAGTGATGGAGGCGAAGCTGCCGGGAGCTGCCACTCTCCTCTGCCTGGTGGATGTTCTCCATGCCTTTGCGATCGAAGAGAAAGGAGATGTGTTCAAGAGAATGGCTTGTCCTTCTTTCCTGATGTTTGACAACGCCGCTTATTTGGCTGACATGACCTTTGAGCTCCCTTGCAACTGCAAGCCCGAAGAGGTCTCTTCTGTCGTCTGGTACTTCCAGAAGGACATGGGCAGCCACAAAACCACGGTCCTGACGGACTTTGCCGGCACCGTGGTTGTTGACTCGGGCCACATTCGCACGGGCAGCAATGTGCTGAAGCGTTTCAGTATCCGGATGTTCAGTCTCATCGTCTTCCGAGCCCAGGTGACGGACTCGGGACACTACCTGTGCGGCACTAAGCAAGGGGACTTCTTTTATGCCTACGACGTGGACGTGCAGCCCACCAAGGACATCACGGTGGCTTTTGTGGACAGAGGCCAGCACGTGCAGGATGACTACACGAAGAAGCTCTTCAGCCTCTTCACCACCTTCTGGGACTGGACCAGGTGTGACCGCTGTGGAGTGAGGGGCGAGCAGCGGCGCATCGGGCTCTGCTACGTGCAGAGCGCCCAGCTGCACCCCCGATACCGCACGGCTGTGCCCAACGTCACGTCCTGCGGCTCAAGGGCTGTCCCTGCGCGCTTCCAGCACCCCGTCCACCTCCGGACACCTGAGGTGGCCATCCGAAGTTGCCTAACCCCTTGCCTGAAGGAGAAGGCCCCCGAGGAAGGCGTGCTGTCCATCTCCAACGTCATTGCCAAGCTGGGCGAGAAGCCCTGGCTGCCCCGCGTCCCCGTGCAGTTTCACCAGCAGGCCGTTGGAAGCCGCCTGATCATCGCGTGCCCAGGAGCCCGGCCTGAGCACGCCGTGGCCTGGGACAAGGACTTCGTCCGGCTCTACCGCTCCCGCTACCTCGTCGGCGTCACCAAGAGCACGCGGGTCTTCATCGACCACGGAAACCACCTGCACATCCAGCGGGTCCGGATCAGAGACAGAGGCACCTACTACTGCTGGCGGGAGGGCGAGATGGTGGCCGGCTTCCGGCTCAGCGTGGCACGGGAGCAGCGGCGCCGGCGGGTGCTGGGGGACCCTGAGACAATCTACGCCCTCAAGATCATCGGCGTGAGCTACGCCGTCATCAGCATCATCTTCCTCACCACCCACGTGGGCCGCTGCTGCTGGCGGGTGTTCGGGGGCTCTGCCAGGACGTAGTGTCTCCACCGCAGCCCCAACCGGTCACTCTTACACCTCGGACCATCCTCCCGCTAGAAATTTCGAATGTTCTGACCATTGGAAATCAAAATGCTGCCAGCGCCCGCTCACCCTCCCTTTTGGGTCAAGTGCATGACAGCGAGGACCAGTGTGGGAAACCCCCCGTGCTGCAGACTGGCACGGCTTAGCAGGGACAGGCGGGGATTTCACACCGCCACAAATTGTTCCTGGCTCTGCTGCTGGCTTGCAGCGGGGTTTTAAGCTCTATATAGTCCTTTTCGAAAGAATACTTGGAGTTGTTGCAAGATCTCCTGGCCAAGCTGTACAGAGTTCTCAAACCGCATCAGTGATTTATGAGAGCTGTTTTTTAAGAGGCTGCTAAAAAGACCCACCAAACTATTTTAATCCAATTAATTCTTGCTTTTCTTACCCTTTTTCTTTACTTTTTTTCATCGCTGAGAACTTTGAGTGCCAAAGTTTCAAAACATTTAATGCGCCTTTGAGTTCCTTAGCTGGAGCAAACCCATTTTTTACATTTTTGGTTTAAACATTTTTTTACTTTGGAAGGAAAAAAAAAATCTTTTTCAAATTAATCTGGTGATTTTCTTCAGAAATTTCTCTGAAAAAAATATTTTTTTTTTTTTTTTTTTAGCTCACCTGACTTGTGAGTCAATATTTATGCCTGACAAAATTATTATGCATGTCATGCAAAGAGGATGTCACCTCTACAGGGTTTAGGTGGCCACTCGTTTGCTCCTCGGCGTGGAGCAGCACTTCCCCGCGGGACTCATCTCCGCTTCTTTTTTCAAGGATGTGGCTTGGGGACCTCAGCTTCCCCAGGGGAGATGCTGCCATCCGGGGGCAGCACCGAGGGCCCAGCGATGCTCAGGCACTTGAGCCATGGGCAGGATCCCAAATCCACCGTCAGTCCCGACAGCTGCAGCCGATCCCAGGAGCTCCCCCGGAGCCGCAGCCGGGTCTGTGCAGGGAGGGACCTGAGTCGGAGGCTGAAGGACCCCGAGCAGATCCCTGCTTCCCCCCCTCCTCCCCGGGAAGAGGGTCTCTCCCGCTGCCAGCTCAGGAACGGGTTATTCCCACACCCACTTCCCCTGCGTTGCAGTCCCTTACGGGTGCTGATCCATGAAGCGTTGGCCATGCCTTGGGCTGCAGCACTGACCTTGCCTCCCCCGGCAACTTCGAGCCCGTTTTGGGCTCCCGAAGGGCCTCGCCCCCCCGGCTAATCCCAAATAACCCACAGCACTGGCTGCAGAGAGGCAGACTGCAGGCACAACCATGGAAGCGCAGAGCTTGCGTTAGCTTTATTTCCCATCTCGAGCTGCCGCGGGCGTTAGTGCATTAATTCAGTAGCAACGTGGGCTGCAAAGCTCCAGCCAGAGGCTGCTGGAGGGGCACGGAGCCCCCCCGGGCCACCACCACCCCACCCCGGGTGCCAAACCTGGGCAGCACCCAGATCTCCGGCCCCTGGGAACGGCCCTTCTGGAGTCAGTAGCTGCAAAGTGTGCTCAGCTCCTGAGCCGGGGGACAGAGGGGACAGCGGGGCTGGCAGGCGAGTGGCACCCCGTGTGCTCATCCCAAAGGGCTTACGGCGTCCGAGAAGTGCTGCTGGGTTGTTGCTCCTATGTTAGTTGGCATCGGGGAAGGTTTCACTCGTGGTCAGTAGATAAATCAGAGGTTGGGGCTGCGGGCGAGCACCAGGCTGGGCGATGGCTCTAGGGAGCCCAGTGGCATGTGCTGGCCCAGGGGAGCGCAGCGCAGACTGGGGGGGACAGGGCCACGTGGAGCCCGGGGGCAAGGGATTTCTTCCAACCCCATCTTGGATGCCCATGTGGGGGGTGGGGGCTTGGGCTCCATGTGTAGCGGGGATTGTGAGTGGGGCAGCCCCGGGCCCCAGTCCCCCTGGCTCCTAGTGTGACCCCGGGTGGGACAGGCAGGACGAGGATGGCTCCGTCTGTCCTCTCCTGTCACTCCTGGGTTGCAGGAGGCACCTCCTACTGTGAGAGCACCCATGGGTGCCCCGTTACCCTCCTCCTCCTCCTCTGTACCCCTCTCCTCTCCATTTTCACCTGCGTGGGACCCTCACAGGTGAGGGGCCAGGCACACAGCCGTGGCTCACCCCTCACCACAAGCCCCTTGGGACTGTTTTTCCCCACCATGGTGATGGGACACCAGTGGGGGTCAGGACATCCCCGTAGCTCTGTGCCAGGAGAAGCCTTTGAGGCCACCCAGCCTGCTGTGCCCACCACTGGTCCGACCCCACAAAGCACCCTGGACACCCCAGCGCCCCCAGGAACACCTTGTTATCCCCATTTCATCACGCTTTGACGCCATCCTGACAGCACCCTGCCTCACCATCCTGCCCTTCCTCCTGCCCGTGCTTCTTGGCTAAACCCACCCAATGCCTGGTGACAGGGTACCAGCGGGTACCTCGCACCCTGCAGCCCCCACCCCAGGCTGCTCAAGGCCTGGGTGCACTGGGGAGATTCAGGGTGGCCTCCCAGACCAGAGAGAGGGCAGCAAGGTGGGATGCAGGGAGAAATGCTCTTGGCACCATCGTCTTGTCTGAGCAGGGCATGGAAACAGGACGGACTCTCTCCCTGGGCAGTGGTAAGCTGGAACCCCAGAGCGAGCGCAGGCACGGCCCCAGAGCCACCGGCCCCGCCGTGCCGTGGGAACGTGGCAGCACCCCAGTTCTGCCCAGCACCGCCCCCCCCGGGTACTGCCCCCCCCCCCCCCCAGCACCTGGTCGGACGACTGCTCTGCTGGCAGCCAGCCCCGAACAGGGTGTCAGCGGGGTCCCCGGGGTGATGTGGGAGAGGCGAGGGGTGGGTGGGAGGGAGATGACCCCCGCTGAAGCACCTCCAGCTCCCGCCGCGACCTGTGCCCGGCCGCAGGGCTCCCTCGCAGCATCGGACGGGACCTACGGAACTACAGCTACAAGCGTGCGGCTGCTGCGGCTCGCCCGCCCTACGCCACCTCCTTGTGCTCCTGCTTGGACTCCTTGATCACCTGAAGGCAGAGGGAGAGGGACCGTCACCCCAGGGCTGGGCTTTCCTCCCCAGCTGAGCCTGCCTGGGGTCTGAACCGCCTTGGGGACAGGGATGGGGATGGTTTTCTCTATGAGCTGCCAGGCTCAGCTCCACCCGGGTCCAGAGCCAGTCCCTGCCGTGCTCTCGGGGCACTGGGATCACTGGCTCCCTGCCTGGGCTGCTCCTGGGGGCTGAGGGATGGTGGCCCCATGTGCATGATGAGTGACCCCTGGGGACACCCCTGGGGAGGCGGGGAGGCAGCGTGGCTGGCACAGATAAGGACTTCCCACCTCTCCATCTCTGGTCTCCACAGTTTTGATCACGATGCTCCTCTTCACATGGGCTTCTGACAGGGATTTAGTGTCCAGGCTGGTCTCTAGGGGACATGGGCAGGACATGGCGGTGACCCGCTGCCCGGGGTATGGCTCCTCCAGCCCCACTCAAGTGGAGGGGCTCAAAGGGAACAGGGTGAGCTGGAAAACCTTGAACCATGGGAGACAGTGGCCCTGGGGACACCATCAGCCTCAGGGACATGGTCGGCCTTGGGATGTAGTTGGTGACATTCATGGCCTTGGACATGTGGCTGGCTTTGGAAAGTGATTAGCACAGGGACACGGTTGGCACTGTGGACATGATTGGCCTTGGGGATGTGGTTGGCCGTGGGGACAGGGGTGGATTTGGGATGTGATTAGGCTTGGGGACAGGGCTGTCCTTGGGGACACAACTGGTATTGGGAATGTCATTGGCCTTGGGATGTGATCGGCGCTGGGGACATAGTGATGTGGTCGATCAGCCTTAGAGACATCACTGGCCTTGGGGACATGCTTGGTTTTGGGGATGTGGCCATGGCCACACTTCTCCCCCCATCTTGGGAGAACCCAGGGGTCCTGTCCTGGTTCCTTGAGATTTGAAGGAAAACCCCCTGGTCCCTCTGGATGTGGCAAGGATGACTGAGACAGCATCTCCTCCCACTGAGCCCCCAGAAGCTGCTGCTGCTTGTGGCACCATCCCAGCCCCCCACCCCACGCGTGGCCACAGCCTCACCTCGGATCTGCAGGTTGGAGAAGCTCTGCATGGGGATGGTGATCCTGCAGGAGCGATGAGGGGTGTTGGGAAGAGCACTGAGGTCCTGCCACCCCCCTGCACACCCGCTCAGCCCTGCCCAGGGCTGGGGCAGGAGGGCTGGAGGATGGTCACCAAGCAGGTTGGACACCCCAGAGGGACCACAAGGACGTGGGGATGGTTTGGGACACAGGCGGGGAGGGGGCAGGATGGAGCCCCTGCTCTGCCATCACCTGCTCTCCTCGCCCTCCAGCAGCTTGCGGTACGTGGCGATCTCAATGTCGAGGGCCAGCTTGACTTTGAGCAGATCCTGGTACTCCTGGAGGTGCCGGGCCATCTCCTCCTTGAGGCTGCGGATGTCCTCCTCCAGCCGCACCACCGTGTCCTGGTAGCCGGCCGTCTCCAGGGCGTAGCGCTCCTCCAGCTCCCGCAGCTGCCTCTCCAGGGACTCGTTCTGGGGGACCACGAGGGGACGTGACACCCTCCAGGGCCACCTTCTCCCAGGAGCTAAGGGCTCTCCACGGTGCCCATCCATCTCCCATCCTTGGGGACTAGCCATTCCCCCAGCATTGGGTGCTGGTCCCCAGTGCTGTGCCAGGGAACCTCGTGGGGGTGGCAGCTCCCTGAGGCCGTGTTCCCCCCTCCTTGCACCCCACGGCCATCACCTACCGAACCCCGCAGAGCCTCCAGGTCGCAGGTGAGGGCCTGGAGCTGGCGCCGGTACTCGTTGGCCTCCTGCTTGGCAGCACGTAGGGCTTCCGCGTGCCGGGCGGCTGCGTCCGTCAGGTCTGCAAACTTGGTGGTGGGGGACACACACACACACATGCCACAGGATGGGACCACGTGGCGTGGATGTGTCCCGGTGGCACACGGCGTGGGGACGTGCCCCTG